AGCGAGGGCCTCCAACCTAATAGCGATGGCCTCCAACCTAATAGCGACGGCCTCCATCCTAATAGCGATGGCCTCAAACCTAATAGCGAGGGCCTCCAACCTAATAGCGATGGCCTCCAACCATAGCAACGGAGGAAGACTTCGTATGTTGCTCTTTCCTTTGCATTTGTTGGTCGTTTCCCCCCTTTTGCCTGTTCTCTCCCCTTCTTTTTGCGGCCAAACATAGTTTAAGGTTTCTTCTGTGAGATCGTATCAATGTAGGCTTCGCCGCGCTTCGGTCGATTGTGCTGCTTCACGAGACAGAGATGGCCATTTCGATTAAAGAAACGTTCTGGCTCAAAGGAAGGTGTTTTTTTCCCATGAATCTTAAGTCTTGCGCTTAAATGCCCTTTACCACAAACTAAGAATGCTCTGCAGAAACAAGAAAAGTAGACTTCTTTCTGTCCCTTTAGACCTTTCTTGTCAATTGTTATCCTTTTTCCTTTCGGCATTGGGATTCTGCACACTCTAGAATCATTGAGACATGGCCAGGCCTCTGCTCAGCATGCTTTGGCATTAAAGCCAACGCTGATGCGTTATGGTGCGGACATCATCTCAGTTGCGTTTTCTTGTTTTTCATGCGTTATGGTGCGTGACACATATTTGCACCAAGAATGTAGAACCTTTCAATGTAGAATCTGTTTTTTGAATTGCGGACTTGGTGAAACTTTAAGAACGACATGTCAATCTTCTGCGTGTTTGTCTGCGTGTTTGTCTGGGACCCACCGAGGCAGTGCAACCGGGGCCGGGCAGCGGACACACAGCTGAGGCTGAGAAGGACTGGTGCTCGTGCCACCATTTCCACAGTGCTCGGGTCTTTATTCTGTTTTGCATCGCGAAGAGTAGTGTTATTGCAATAGCGTAGCTGTACAACTCATGCAGTGAGAGAGTTGAACGGGTGTGGGACACTTTTCCAAATCAAGTGGAGGTCTAGAAGCTACTAGAAACAAAGGGCATCGCTACTAGTAGCAAGGACGCTACTAGTAGCTCCTGGCATTACTACTAGGAACAAGGTTCGCTACTAGTAGACCTTGCTTCCTGTTCTTTTGTAGTTCCGTCAAGTGGGAAAGGACGGTTCGAGATGTTCATTCCTTTCAACCAGTTCGACGCCTTGACCTGAAGAGGCTGCAGAGGAAAACAAGGTGGCCAGAGAGGCGTTGCTGGATTGGGCGCAGGACCGCACGGCTCTTAGCCTCCAAGAGTACAAAGCAAGGAGGTGCTGTCCACTTTTTTTTTCCAGGTCCGTTTCGGGCCGTTCGTAGAGATGCCAGGAGCCCCCAGTAGCTTGTTCCTAGTAGGTCCATTTCATCCGTCCTTTTTGCATCCAAGAATCCATGCCATGACGGAAGTCACGTGTCTTTTTCATCTCTGCATACCTTCCTGCAGACCGTCTCCTGTTCTTCTCCAGATTCCGCAAGAAGGAAGGAAAACGATCTAATCCAAAAAGAAGAACAATAAGACAAGAGATAGTAGCTTCTAGTAAAAGAGATACGAGAAAAGAAAAAAGGACCAAAGACGAGAGAGCGAAAGGACAACGGACGATTCCATCGGAACGAGAAATCGAGTCCGCTCCGAGGTCTAGCTCGTCCGCGGGCGCTGCTGGAGCCGCAGCCACGTTCGCAGACGGCGGGGGCGGGGGGGGCTGTTTCTACAAAACGCCCGCGTTTGTTTGTGGGGAGAAACACGGCTTAAAGAAATTGGCCTTGGCCCAAATCAGAGGTCTTGTATTGTGTGATATCTCCTTTTTAGAGACCCAAGTAGATTGTCTACTCGTAATGTTTGTAGTGGCAAGGGCGGTTTAAACATGCTTGTCGCAGTCCTTCTGTAACTTTATTTTGGCTTTGTCTTAGGGTGGGAGCTTACTATTGTAATGCAATTTTTGTGAAGGCATGCCGGAGTTCCCACAACTTCTGACAAAAGGAATTAAACATCGAATTGAATCCAAGGTTATTGAGAAGCCATTTGTTCTCAGGTTCCTTTTATCTGTAGACCTTCAGACCTTTCTGCTTCTGAAAGAACACGTTAGTCTTTTCACATCGGATCACGGCCCATCTCGTGAGGCTCTCCCAGAGGAGCATGTCCAAAATTTGCGAAAGGCTCTGGCTTGGAGAACGCTGCTGGGAGGCTCAACCTTCAAAATGGCGGTGCTTTTCTTGAAACAAGAAGCTACTAGGAACAAGTGCATCGCTACTAGTAACAAGTGCCTTACTAGTAGTAACAAGAAGCTATTAGAAACAAATTAGAATGTCTAACAATTAGAGGTCGCGATACCTCACCATTGGAGGTCGCTAGACTTCCAGCCAAGGCAATTCCAAATCCTCAAGGTTTTGGCATTCTTCCCTGCCTCACCTATGTCTCACCTATGTCAATTTCCCAACGAGCTGAACAAGATGACTGGTGAGCGAACTCCGACGCCAGTTCATGCACTGCTTCCCGGAGTACTACCATTGTTATACGTCACATCCCGGTCACATCGCCTCTTTTTTTGAATCTGTCGAAGGTTGCCGGTGAACACTTGTGGTGTGACTGAGGCTTCCGCTGATCGAATGCTTTGAAGCGGAGCTGGACTTGCAGGGTGCCACAAGCTTAGAAATCATTGGACTTGCGGATTCCAACTGGATTCCGGGACGATCAGCGCCATATAAGCAATGTTTCAATCCCAATGCAACCATGCTTAACGAATACCTTCCCCAGTCACTACTCACAACTGTTTGAAAAGTGGACATTGAGACGAAAGAGAGCAACAAGAAGTGCGTGCTAAAGGAAATCAAGAACAGAACAACAAAGGAGAGCAGAGGAAGGAAAGCAAAGGATACCAAAGGTAGGGTCTGAAACAAGTCGACAGCAATGCGTTTGGCCAAACAAGTCGAACCACATGTTCGATTCGGCACACTGTGCTTCAGGCCATGCAGGATCTCTTCGTCGCGATCGATGAGAGCCCTTGGATGTTGGGCACCCCATCCGTTTGTTGGAGCGGTGTGGAGCGGTGTGGAACGTTCGTAGATGCTGTGGATGCTGTGGATGGCCTCCACCCTAGTAGCTTCTTGTTCCTAGTAATTGCAGTAGTAATGCCAGGAGTTACTAGTAGCTTCTTGTTGCTAATAGCAATAGCCTCTGCTGTGGATAAGGCTGAAGATGTTGGATCAACGGCATGCGCGAAGTCTCCTCTTGCGCGTGGCTCGCATTCCGTGTCTCAGCTGAGAGAGAACAAAGTTGATCCATTTCCTGCTGTTTTGTTTTACAACGGCTAAGGTCCAGGCTGAATCTTTGGACTGCCAGGAGCTACTAGTAGCTTCTTGCTACTAATAGCGATGGATGGCCTCATCTAGTAGCTTCTTGTTACTAGCAGCTTCTAGCCTAGTAGCAGCGGTCTTCAGAAGCGATGCATTCTGCACATGGCCTTCTGGTCTGGTCTTGGTGGTGCAAAACTTAGGATGTCTTTCGAGTGGCCGCCGTGACCGTCTCGGCGGGTTAAAAATGCGCACCAGAGAAGGGAGGTTTTCAGACAAGGAAGCTTTCTTCCAGCACCAGAGATTAAAGATGACACAGATTCTTTGTGTGTTTTTTGGATTGAGTTGCTGATCGCTCTTTTTTGGAGCTCCTTTCAACAGTCTGATTTTGGTGCGCAGACCTGTGCCTGCTGTCGCCGGTCGCGCTGCCACAATGGTCGGGGACCTGAGAAGAAGATTTCGATGTGCCCAGTGTGCAAATTGTGGTGCCAAGAAAGGACGCTACTAGGGGCTCCTGGCCGTACTACTAGGAGCAAGGACGCTCCTAGGAACAAGCAAATTGTGCAAATTTCGATGTGCCAAGGTCTACAGTTTCAAGAAGAGACATGTGGACAGGGAGTTGGACACATTGAAAGGGAGAAAGTCTTCACTAAGTGGAGTGACAGTGACATCGAAACACGAAACCAACTCACTGTCGCTTGAAAAGGGGGGTGGGCCACATCCGTGGCACCAAGGCAGACAACGGGATCAAGGTCCCACTGTACCTTGGCCTGATTTGTGAATGGTGGGGTGTTGTGGGGTAACGTGGGGTTGAAGAGGCAAAGTAACAGAACCTCATAGTCCACCAAAGGATCAAGCCTGGTGTGTTGGCGACCCCTTGCTTTCCCGTTCGCACGGATAGTGATGGCCTCCAACCTAGTAGCATTCTTGCTACTAGTAGCGATGCCATTGTTACTACTAGCGATCACTTGTTTCTAGTAGCTTCTTGTTACTACTAGTAAGGCACTTGTTACTAGTAGCGATGCCCTTGTTACTACTAGCGATGGCCTCCAACCTAGCCTTGTGAGCCGCACTGATCGTCAGGTGCAGTCGCCAGATCGCCGACAAGGACTGTGACCTCGCCGTGGTCGACGGTGAGTTGAAGATCGGAGAGGCGCTGACGGGACGACGCGATTCGCCACTTGGGTCGTGGGCGCGCGATGCCCTTTGCTCCTATTAGCGTCCTTGTTACTAGTAGTACGGCCAGGAGCTCCTAGTAGCGTCCTTGCTCCTAGTAGCGATGCCCTTTGCTCCTAGCGTCGGAACTGCTCATAACTTCACTATAGTCTATGCATGCACGGAAAGCCATTGCTAGTAGGTTGGAGGCCATTGCTCTTAGGAAAGCACACTGTATGCTTTTCAACGGTGGCACGGTTCCGTGCTTTTCAACGGTGTTGCGTGTTCCGTGCGTGGAAAGGGATGGGCACTTGGAGAGTCCGTGAAAGAGATCTTGGACATCGAATCAGGGTTTGGTTTCAAGTGAGATCAATACTCAGTTTGAATCGCCAAAGAATTGTGAGCGATGAGACCAACCAAAGACGACATGAACTTGTTGGTACAGAGCATTGATCCGTGCATAGGTGTAACTGTATAATCCACCGCACAGTACTGGACGCCACAGCAACATTGGCTTCCGATAAGCCACAATTGACATGCAATGAAAACATACACAAAGACAACCAATTGTGCAGCAAATTGTGCATCGCTACTAGGAGCATGGAGCTACTAGGGGCTCCTGGCCTTACTACTGGGAGCAAGGAAGCTACTAGGGGCTCCTGGCATCGCTACTAGGAGCAAGAACGCTACTAGGGGCGTTTTTTTCATTAAAATTGTGCAGCAAATTGCTTGGCCAAGCGGCAAGTCTTGCTGTGTCGTGACCGCCCGGCCTACGCAAAGCTGGGCAAAGAGGGAATGGACGTCTTTGTCTCCTCACTTTACTAGCGAATCGGACCGTTATATATAATTAGACCGCCTATCTTCTGATTTTTTTAATTTTGCATGTCTTCCTTGTTGTTTTGTTGTTCTTTCTTTTCGCATTGTCTTGCTTTCGATATTCTGTTTCTGCCCTTCGGATCCCTTCGTTTCCTTTTTCGGCAAGAACGTGCTGCAAGAACTTCTTCGATGGAGAAACGGACCTTTGTGTGACGGAAACGGACCTTCCCTTCCTTTTTGAGGCCTAGGAACAAGAAGCTACTACGGGCTCCTGGCCTTACTACTTGGAGCGATCGGACGCTACTACGGACCGAGGCGGACTTGGAGTTGTCTCCACCGAACTTCACGGGCTGCAAACATCCGATGCTGAAGGAAGAACTTCGTCCAGGGAGCCTTGGCAGATGGCAGAGGGGAAGCCGACACGAACAGAACGTTGATCTTTGTTCGCTTTATTCAGGAAAGACCAAGAGAAATTTGAATGGACTTGCCAGCATGAAACAGATCTTCTCTACAGATGAATAGTCAGATGATGGCAAGTGGTGAACCTGAAGACTTTCCGTGCTTTGCGGCGCTTTGCTTTCAGTTGAACCAAGGGCGGCCAAGAAGGTCAAAGCTTCCAACTTAGCCGACAGCAACTCCAGAGAGTCACAGAGTAACACCGCCACCGTGAACGCAGAGAACGCAGTTGGAGCCTCACAGATCCACGCCATGTGGCCGTTTGTGTTCCGTGGCCGTCTGTGGCCCGAAAGAGATGCGAATGCGACTGAGTCCTACCCTGATGGGGTTTGGGATGGTTTAGGCATGGCATGACGACTGATGACTCACACTTCCCAAGCATCGTTGAGTTCATATGTTTCTCATCTCAGTTCTCCCCCACCACCAGCTTTGTTACTAGTAGCGAACCTTGTTCCTAGTAGTAAGGCCAGGAGTTACTAGCAGCGTCCTTGCTCCTAGTAGTAAGGCCAGGAGCCCTAGCTTCCAGATATCCAGCTTCCACTGGGATCCACCAACTCCCAGCCGCGGCAGCGCCATGTCGCACGGCCGGTGTCGCACTGCATCGCCTGCAGCGCCAGCCGCGGCCGCCTGACGCGATGCGCTTGGCGCCGGTGCAGCTGGGCAACGCCGACCCCGACGCCTGGCGAGGTCGCGAACAGCGTGGGGAGCGTGCGGAGGTGGACCCGGAGACCTACAATGGCGGTTCCAGGACGGAAAGCGAAGCTGCAAATAGCTACGTTTATAGCTTCTTCTTACTAGTATGGCCAGGAGCTACTAGCATTTTCTTGCTCCTAGTAGTGATGCCCTTTGTTCCTAGTAGCGGAAGCGAAGCAAGAAGTCGTTTTCTAAGAGATAAGAAGTGTTTCGATCGGTTAGGTTGTGAGTGATGTGACAAGTTACTTAGCAAACGTCCATGGCTTGTTTCTGGGTATGTCATGCATGCTATATGGCAGAAGCAAACGAGATTTGATTATAGACAGCACATCCCGTTTCCAATTTTGGTGATTTGGCCAGGAAATGTGTGTGGGCGATGATGTTGATCTCAATCCTACTGATCCTTCATGTACAGCGGGATCGTTACATTGAAGCCTTACGCTGGCATGGTGGCATTGCAGATCATGGACCACCACTACCTTGGGAGGTGCAGCCGATGATTTTGCCCAACGACACCTATGAGGCAAGAGCACGCAGCTGACGCAGCTGATGATATTTGTAAACTTGTCTCTCAAATCATGATGATTGCTCATACAATGCTCAGTACAATGACAAGGCAGCTGCAAGCAGGTCAAGCGATATAATTGTAAAATAGGTGAAAAGACAGAAGTGGTATTCTTCCTTAAGCACAGCCCTTCACCAAAAGAAAGCCACCTGGACACAACAGCTCCCTTTCACCCGCCGCGGCCGACGCTGGTTTTCCAGGCGAGCTTCTTGGCGCCCAGCTTGCGCCGGGCCAGCAGCTTCGTGAAGCTCTCTTCAAGTGTGTTGGGTGTGAATGGCATGGCCAGCACGGTGTTCACCAACTCCACCAGGAGAAGTTGGAGACAGACGCAATGCTCACCAGACGAGAAAGACCCAACCTTGATTGTTTCTAACGCCTTATTTTGAACGCATTAATCCACATAGGTAGCAGCAGGAAAGTAAAAGTAGAAAGGCAAGAAGAAGGTGGACTTGGGCCCCTTGAAGAACGCCCCCCTGTAACGAGGTCCAAGAGGCCCTAAGTGGCCCAAGTCCACCCTTTTTTCGATGAGTGAAGTAGAAAGAGTGTCGTCCAAGACCCGGACATGACTGCAGGGTAGTGCTTAAAAGAAGCACAGACAGAAGATGAAATATGACTAAATAGTTATGTTTTTGCATTCAAAAAAGCCGACCATGATCTTCACTCCTTCACCTTTCTCTACCTTTGTTTTCCGCTTTCCGTGCTGATCATCTGTGTATGGAATATGTATTTTGCGCCGTTTCTCTACTTGCTCTACTTAGTAGTCTTTTCTGTAGCGTGTTTGCGTAGTCTCTATCAATGGTGTCCTTTGGGTTTTCGATGGTCAAACGACATTGGAACTGCCCTATCCTAGCTCTTTAAGGCCGTTCAACTCTACGAACTGTGTTTGTGTTTGAAGGAGCCTCCCAGCAACCGTTCTTTTGCGGAGACGGCGGGTGGATGGAGAAGCCCTCCCAGTAGTGGTTCTCTTCGCTTCTTGCCTCTTTTCTCCTGTCCTTCTCTCCTTCTTTTCTGTTCTTTTTTCTCTGCTCTTTCTCTTCTTGTTTTCTCCTCTTATATTTTTGTTCCCTCTCTCTCTCTCTCTGTTTGTCTGCTTTTTCTTTCTCTTTGTTGATGTTTGTCTCCGTGTCTCTCCCTGCTTGTCTTGGTTGATCGGGCTCAAGCCATTTCTGGCAGTTTCCAAGATGGTCTGGCATATTCGAGATCTGGCTTTCTTGCTTTAGGAGTGCCAGTGACCAGAGTGTCACTTTGGTGGTGGGTTCTGGCACCTTGCCAATCTGCAAGGAGGTTGGGCGGCCGGGATTGAAACAAAGGATACTTAGGTCTTGTTTGGATCGGAACATATTGGAGCAGAGATTCAGAGATAGCGGAATTGGGAGTTGCCACCCACCGGTAGCTGCGGAATGCAAAAGATCTTCTTGTCAAATGAAGGGTAACGTTTGTGCCTTCCAAAACAAGTAAATGAATTTCATTGAACAATTCAGGTTCTCTTTGCCATTTGTCTTAGACCCTCCTTTTGAATTCATCATGATAGGCCAAGGAGCCTTGCCTGGTGGCGGTGCAGCGGGGTGAGGCGGAAGCGGCGGGTTCCGGGATGGTCTGCCACCACTTCTCCGCTGGCGCCGCCTTGGGAGCTTTACAACCACTGGGAAAGGATTTGTGCCTCAGGAGGGGGGAGAAAGCAATGAACAAGAAGCTACTAGGAGCAAAGGGCATCGCTACTAGCAACAAAGGGTATTACTACTAGTAGTAAGAAGCAGTCTTACTACTAGTAACAAGAAGCTACTAGTAACAAAGGAGACGAAAGGAGGAAGACACCGGGAGAAGAAAGCAAACAAAGCGGCATTGGTCATTCATCAGCAGCATGCTCGGCAAAAGTTCTAAACACACAGTACTGCTAGACACGGGAATATTACAATGATTTCAGAACTTTGTGGAGGTTTAAGAAGTTTAAGATAACTGTTTTTTTGGCTTGGAATAAGCCCATGTTTGGTTTCACATACCATCATGTCAGCCGTCAGCCCACATTTCATCCCTGCGAGGTCCAAACATGTTTACGCAGCCCTGGCGACGGCCTTGAACAAGTCTGAGGTTCATTGGAAAAAGTCTAAACATACAAAAGTGCAGTTTTGATGAATCGCCTGTATTTGGCAATTGCCCTTTTTCTTCTGTGGTATTTCTTTGTCTTCGTGTGAGTTGGCTTCAATTCAGTGGGAAGATTCCAACGATTCCAAGTTCCCAGGGACCAACATAAAGAGGACAATCCCTTTCACATGTTCCCAATGACCGGGTCCCATGAAGTTCTCTTCCCATCAAGACCACCCCAATAGCGATGGCCTCCACCGAGAAGCTCAGGTGGTTTTAGCCTGGGATCCCAATCGCAATGATGGCAGTCGGCCCTACAGCTGCTTGGCACGTGTGACCTTTCCTCAGATGCAGCGGCTGACGACCTTGGCCGTGGACCTCGTGGCCTCGGTGATCTACGACCGAGTCGCTCGGTGCGATGGCTAGGGAAGTCGTTTTGAGACCCCTTCAAGGCCCTTCTGTTCTGGCCGGAACAGGGTGCATTTTGACTTATTGCTCAAATTTGCTTGTGGTACAAGGGACGAACATATTGCACTGCACTATAATACAGACCGTAGTAACTGTTCAGTGACCTGCGGGCACTTTTTCCTTCCTATCGCGGTGGATGCACCTGATCGGAGGTCACCGACTCGATCATCACCTTGGGCTTCTCGGGGTCTCAGACCATCATCGCCGATCAATACCAAGCCTCCACGCTGAAGCCTCAACTCAGGCGACTCGGATGAGCGTCCGGTGGGACGGCAGATGGGTCCACGGTGAGTCCACGGTGGTCCACGTTTGGTGTCTTTTTGGGAGTGGGGTGGGTGCTGCGATGGTACTGATCTGATACGGTGTTGTCAGGTGCGGACTGGGAACCCAAAGGCTGGCTGGTTTGGTCATTCTGCTACTATAGTGGAGAAGAATGTGCTGTGATGACAAGCTGGCACGTGGTTGAGGGCAAACACGAGCTGCAAAGCGATCCTGTTTTTTGCAACCTTTTAACAACAGTATCAGGGCTTTGATCTCTTCCCAATGAGTGATTAGAGTGATACAACGTGTGTGTACAAACATGTTACACTAATTACTAATTACATAATACACACATGTATTACTATATATGTAATATACATGTAAATATATTTCATTATTTTACCATATATTTAGACATATATACTTGAACTTAATGAGACCTCCTCTTCGGATGACGTCGCGAGGTATTCCATCCCGATCTCCGTGACGTGGCTGTTGCATGCGCCGAAGATGTCGGACGGCTTCCTGCTCTTCCTGGGCTCCGAGGACGAGTGAAAAAATAGGAAATAGACGAAACAAAGCACAAAAAAGCACCTTATGTCTTTTTCAGGTGGTTTTTCCTATTCTTGGCTTTCTATTTCATGTTCGTTTTTTTGTTTTCTTTTCTTTGTTCTTTGCTTGGGCTCCGAGACGCCCTTCATCGGGAGCATCTTCGCCGTGGATTTGCGTCGGCAGATGATCTACCAACAAGATCCCCCGACGGGAGGCCCCAACCAACGACCACGGAGATGGGTTTTGCCCTACAACAAATTCGTGGAACGTCTACCGGACAATCCGGCGGCTTCAAAGCAAAGTGCAGCTCTCAGTGGTTGAACTGTTCTTGATGGAACGCGGCAAATCACAGAAAGATAAGCTCTGCAACACCAGCTTGGACACACTGGCAACTTCAATGGGCTTCAGTAAGCTTTGGTCCGTTGGGAAAGTTCAATTGACACGGAATCTCTGAGGCCAGGATGGCCCCTGCTCCACACTGTGAGCTGCAGCCACTCGGAAGGGGGGTCAGGATTTGTTCAAGAAAAAGTGTTCTTCTTGCCTTCTTGCTACTAGTAATGAGAAAACAAAAGGAAGAGAAGAGGAAGGTCAAAAGGCTGAAAGAGAAGGATATGTTTTTGAACCTTTCTTTGGACCTTTCCTATTCTTCCTTCCCTTCTTTCAAGCAGGGCAGCAGCTCCACTTGACATTGTAGTTTGATTTAGTGATGTTATTTTCTTATTTTTCAAGGGCACAGATTAAAACGGGTGTGGCACTTCCTTGCAACAGGTTGTGAGCAGCACAGAGGAGCGGCGAACTACACTGCCTCAGTTGTGTGAGTTTCGACGCTAGAACTTGTCAAAAGCAACGCAGACTGAGCAGCTTGTGACAAAGTGACATAGCTGTTGCGATGTTGAGTGTGACGAAAAAGCTTTGCGCTGAAAAACCCAGAGCACCTTGTGGAGCACCTTGCGGAGCACCTCGACTCAGAATGTTCCTTTTCTTGCTTGATAAGCTTTACACCTCGGCTCGAATTAGAAGCTCAAAGAGGCTTAGGGAATGGACTACTCGATTCCGCTTTTTGCATCATTCATTTTTTTTTACCTTTTCAGGAAGGGCACGTGTCGAGGAACGGCACGTGTGCGACCGGCCATCGTGTCGCCAAGGGCTTCCTCTTCAAGTGCAAGGCGCCGACGGCAAACACTCCGGAGGCAGTGCCCCCAGTGCCTCTGAGTCGCGCAAGCTGAGAGAAACGTGTCGAGCTAAGTAAGCTCCGGTAGAGCTTACAAATAAAGATCATTTGGTCGCTTAGACCTGTTTTTGGTACCTAGATCATTTTGCGTGCAGCGTCGAATAGTATCAACTCTTGAGTCTTGTTTCCTTTCTTGCACCTTCAGGGAAGCGCAAGAACTTGAGGAGATAACAGAGTTACCATGCGAAGGAGCTTTAACTGCTTAAGTGAGGCTGACCGTGAAGCCAACCCCGCAGAGATGACGGATCAACAGGAAGCCGAGGAGCTTGAGAAGGAGGAGCGGATTGAGCCAGAGAGATAAATCGTAGAATGTTGAAGAGGATCCGTTGAAGAGCGAACAAGAAGCTACTAGGAACAAAGGGCATAGCTACTAGGAGCAAGGACGCTACTAGGGGCTCCTGGCCTTACTAATGGGTTTTTCAACATGGTTTGGGGTGGGAACAGTTGTCGCTGGGACATCACGTTGCCCCAACCTTTTCAGAAACAAAGAACATTATTTTTGAATACGAACACTTTGAATCCATTGAAGGCAAAGGCTCTTCTGTTATTACTTTTTCATTGATATTTTTTTATATAAATACGTTTCCTCCAGTGTTAGTTGCAGTTGGACATTTGGGTCTTGTTTTGCACCTTCATAACAGCATCAGCCCCACGAGGAAGAGGCATTAGCTGAGGAAAACGTGGGACTTTGGCCGGAGACCTTGGAGCATAATGCAGGCTCCTGCGTGAGCAAAGACACAAGTTTTGAAGATCTCAAGTTGTTGGTGTCGATATTGAATGTGTCACCCAAGTTTGGGCCATTTCATTTCATGTTTCTGTTTGTCGCCATGAATTTGTTTCTTGTCCGGATGCCAGCACATTATAGGACGCTATTAGGTGGAGGCCATCGCAAGTAGGTTGGAGGCCATCACTACTAGTTACTAGTAACAAGAAGCTACTAGGAGCAAGAAGCTACTACAGGCCTGGCATCGCTACTAGGAGCAAGGACGCTGCTAGGGGCTCCTGGCCGTACTACTAGGAGCATCCTTACTACTAGTAACAAGAAGCTACTTAGTATCATCTTGAGATCTGCTTCGGAGCTTTGAGCCGTCGCCGTTGGCTCCACCAAGGCCTTCGCTTGGTGTGCCAAATGAGATGCTTCAGGCTTGGTACATCTGGAGCATCGAAGAACAGAGGCACATGTCATTTCATCCGTTGCCTATGGTAACGATATGCATTCCAACCTAATAGCGATGGCCTCCAACCTACTAGCACTAAAAGCACTATATAAACACACATGATTGAATATCACATTGAAGCATATGCCGCACGATTCATTCACAAAGAAGCCTGCTATGAGGCTTCGGAATTGAGCTTGTACGTTTAACACATTTGAAGCTGAACTGATATATTTTTTTTTCGATCTTCCTTGCTTGAACAACTCGAGATGGCTGCTCCTCAGACTTGAGGATTTATTTCATTCATTGATGTTGTGTCCGCTTTGCAGTATTTATGCTCAATCGTATATTGTTTTCACTTTCAGCCAGGTGTTCTTCGCGCAAAAAAAACGGCGATGCTAACACCTGAAGTTGTACCCAGGTGTTTTCCGCCAATCTACCAAGACTAGATGAGCGAAGATATGCGAAGATGCGACACATTCGAGGAACACTCAGAACCGAAAGCCACAATACAAAGATATGCTTCCTTCAGATACAACTAGCACATGACCAAAAGACATGAACAAGGCAGGGGCTTCGAAATGAAGACATGTTCTTCGACTGGTCGTGTTCCCTTTCGCTTCCAGCTCCGGCGCCTTCGCTCCCATGGCCCGGCGCTCGGACAGTCGGAGGCCCTCGCCCCGGCGCCGGCGCTCGGACTCGCGACGAGACTCCAGGCCGGCCGAATCGGGAAGGCTCCGGCGCAGCAAGTTGAGCTAAAGAAGAAACAACATGAAACCGACCTGATAGCAATGGCCTCCAAACTGAGAGCGATGGCCTCCAACCTAAGCCGCTGAGCTAGTGAGAAGATGTAAGAAGTTACTGAGTAGCAGCTAAGAAGCTACTAGTGGACGCAAGAAAGCTCACACTTCTATTCAGGTGGTTCTTAGATTGTTTTGGCCATCGCTATTAGGTTGGAGGCCATCGCTATTATATCTTACATGTAAACAAATGCATATACGGCTTTGCTCTTTCCTACAAGTCGCTGGCAGGCGCCGCTCACCACCTCGGCGCCGATCCCCACCGCGCAGGCGTGGCAAGAGCGGTCGAAAGGATGAATAGACTTGTGGTTCGAGCGCCTTTTTTGTTCTTGTTACTATTAGCAATGGCCTCCACCTAATAGCGTCCTAATACGCGATAGAAACACTTCGCATAACTCTTAGCATTTTGTTGATGCTTGGTGTGGTAAATGCGGTTTCTGGGTGATTATCATTTGCATGACTAAATTGCTATGCAAGACCCATGTGGTCTCCGAGCAGACAGTCTCAGAAGCTACCAGGGTGTACATGCCCAAGTGTTCTTGGTGTTTGGCAACTTGTTCTGCCTTTGGCCGATGTAGGCGCAGCCCTAGTCGGTCGAGGTGGGCCCGTTGCCAGACGTACTTTCTGCGGAAGTTCACAGATGGCTGAAAGGAATGAAGCTAAATGACACCGCCAAAGCTGCACTGGTGATGGTCAAGATGAACAACACACATAGCGTCGTCATGTCGAGTCCAAGAACAAATCTGAGAAAGACATTTGGTCGTTTTATGTAGTAAAGACTGATCTGGTGTTGCTTCGTTGCCAATCTGTTTGACGCGCGAGCCTCGCATGTTTCCCCGCTGCCAACACAGGTCGCCGCCCCGCCGGTCGCCGCAGCGGCGCTCGCCGCCCCGGCGTTCGCGCTCGCCACGGGCGCGCACGTCGCCGGCGAAGGCCGGAGCAAGGAAGGAGAAGGAAGCGGAAGGAAGGATTTGAAAGAGAGAAATACTAGCGATGGCCTCCAACCTATGAGGAATGGCCTCCATCCTAAGAGCGATGGAGGCCATACTAGAGTGTAAAGAGATATTAGAGAGAGAGAGAGAGAATCTAATTGACATAATTACATCGCAAATGGTAGATAACAAGACGGGAGTGACTAGATGAAGAGAGTATGCAGTATGCATGCGAAATACAACAAGAGAACATCTAGAAAGATGATCAAAAGGGGACATGTCAGCTATTATAGTTTTATCTTGGATCACTGGATCACATATTGTGACCATATTTGATATCCCTGGGTATTTGTGAGCTCCAGCAGTCAGAATGACCACGACAATGATACATACAAGTTGGGTTTTAAAAAAGGAGTTGTTGGACGCCGCATGTTGGTTCATCAGTGGGCTCTTGTTGGTGACTACTGCTTGAAATCTCATGAACTCGTTCTAGTTGCCGCTACTAGGAACAAGAAGCTATTAGGGGCTCCTGGCCTCGCTACTGGCCTTACTACTAGGAGCAAGAAGCTACTAGGAGCTCCTGGCATCGCTACTGGGAGCAAGAAGCTACTAGGAGCTCCTGGAATCGCTACTGGGAGCAAGAAGCTAGTAGGGGCTCCTGGCCTTACTACTAGGAGCAAGAAGCTACTAGGAGCTCCTGGCATCGCTACTAGG